TAAATAAAAACAAATTTTACATAACAACCCAAACTGGAGGATACTTGAGAGGGAAATGATGTGTGAGAAAATCAAGGACAATTCAGTACATTTAGAACTGCATGTAAATCACAAAAATGGACAATTGACAAAGATATAAGCCTTTCTCTAAAGTAATTGTAGGTTTCCATTATAAAATTAGAGTTTTAAAAACTTATAATATTTATGTATACAGAAAAATGGGAGATTCAGAGTGCTCATATTTATGTTATTCTCCTCCCTACCAAATATTCTACTATTACTAACATATTGTATTAGTGTGATAACATTTGTTTCAATTGATGAGTCAACAATGATACATTATTACTAAAGTCCATAGTTTATATTGTTTTACTATGATGGAGATACTCTCAATCCAAATCATTATTTGATAGTCTCAATTGATAGTTGTTTGGATATAAACATCCCAGGGAAATTTTCTTAGCTCTCTTCTTTTTGTGTTTCCCTCCTTGGGATACTTTCATTTCTATGAACTTTCCTGGTTTTTCTTTTTTTTTTTTTTTAATTGTGAAAATACCGTACAGAGGAGTTACAATTACATGGGCAAGATAATGAGTACATTTCTTATCAAGCATTGTTGCATCCTCCTTTGTTTCCCCTTCCCATCCCTTCCCATACAGACCCCACACCCCCCCTTCCTGATTCTTGCCCCCCCCAAGTTGTAAATTTCGTTTTTGACATAACAATTTGTACATCTCATTGTTGCAATGGGTCAACCTGTATCCCTATTTAAACGATTTGTTTTTTCCCTTCCCCTCCAAATTATACCAACATCAAATACAGTGAAAGCAGGGTTATATTGTGGGGGAGGGGCATACAAAGCAACAAAGAAATCATCTTATAAATATGTTAGAAACAATTGCATGAAAGAAAAAAAACATTTGAATATTATCTTGGGGTTCATTTCCCTAACATCAACTTATCTGACCTTTTCTGTTTGACACAGACATATACTAGTTACTGCAAATAAGAGAAACCATGGTATCTATGTTTCTTTGGGCCTGGCTTACTTCACTTAATAGAATTTTTTCCAAGTCTTTCCATTTCCTAACAAATGGGGCAATGCCATTCTTTCTAATGGAGGCATAGAATTCCACATTTTCTTGATCCATTCATCTACTGAGGGGCATCTGGGTTGGTTCCATATCTTAGCTATGGTAAATAATGCTGCAATAAACATAGTTGTGCTGGTAGCTTTGGTGTGGTCTTGTTTGTGATCATTTGGGTAAATACCCAAAAGTGGGATTGCTAGGTCCTAGGGGAGCTCTATGTGGAGTCTTTTGAGGAACCTCCATACTGCTTTCCAAAGTGGTTGAACAAGTTTACACTCCCACCAACAATGCAGGAAGGTTCCCTGCTGTCCACATCCCCTCCAGCATCTGTTGTTATTAGAGTTGTGGGTTATAGCCATTTCTAACTAGGATGAGGTGGTATCACAATGTTGTTTTGATTTGCATTTCTTTTATGTCTAGAGAGGTTGACATTTCTTCATGTGTCTATTGGCCATCCTTCTTTCCTCTTCAGAGAAGTTTCTCTTTTAAGTCTTTAGCCCACATTTATTGGGCAATTGTTTCTTTGAAGATTTGTTGTTTGGGAATTTAATTTTTTGAGTTCCAGGTATATTTTAGATAAGAGACCCTTGTCTGTTGTATGGCTAGTGAAGATCTTCTCCCAATCCATGGGCTTTCCAGTGATCTTGCTAGCTATGTCCTTTGCCATGCAGAAGCTCTGCAATTTCATGCAATCCCATTTGTCCAACCTTTCTTTGATTTGTTATTTCTGGGTCTCTATTAAGAAAATTTCACCCTGTGCCAAGGAGATCTAGGGTTTCTCCTATTTCATCCTGTAATGTTTTCAGAGTGTCTGCTTTGACTCTGAGGTCTTTAATCCATTTGGAGTTGATTCTGGTGCAGGGTGATATATAGGATTTAGCTTTAGTTTTCAATAAGTAGTTAACCAATTTTGCCAGCACCTCTTACTGAAGAGGCTGTCTTTCTTCCATTCTATTTTTTTTAGCTCCCTTATCAAAGATTAGATGGCTGTAGGTCTGTAGGTTCATTTCTGGGTTTTAAATTCTATTCCATTGGTCCTCAGGTCTGTTCTTATGCCATTACCAAGCTGTTTTTGATTACTATGGCTTTGTAGTAGAGTTTGGTATTGATATTCCTCCAGCACTTTTCTTTTTGTTAAGGATCATTTTTGCTATTCGGGGTCTTTTATTGTTCCATATGAATTTTTGGATTGCCTCTTCTATTTCCTTGAAGAATGAGGTTGGAATTTTGATAGGTATTGCATTGAATTTGCAGATAGCCTTGGGAAGTTTTGCCATTTTCACGATGTTGATCCTTCCAATCCAGGAGCATGGGAATTTTTGCCACTTTCTAAGTTCTGTTTTGATTTCCTTTTTCAGGTTTTTAAAGTTTTCATCATTGAGGTCCTTCACTTCTTTCGTTAATTCCTAGGTATTTTATTTTTTGTGGGGCTATTACGAATGGAGTTGCTTTCCTAATTTCAGCCACACTTCTCATTGTTGGCATACAGAAAAGCCATTGATTTTTGAGGGTTAATTTATACCCTGCTACTTTGCCAAAGTTTTGAATCAGCTTGAGTAATTTGGGAGTGGAGGCTATGGGATTCTTTAAATCCAAGATTATGTCATCTGCAAAGAGGGAGAGTTTTACTTCTTCTTTCCCTATTTGGATCCCCTTTATGTTTGCATCTTGTCTTATTGCTGTAGCTAGGCATTTAGCAGTGGAGAGAGTGGACATCCTTGTCTTGTTCCTGAGTTAAGAGGAAATGGCTTTAGTTTTTCACCATTAAATATAATGCTGGCTGTAGGTTTGTCATATACAGCCTTTATTGTATTGAGGAATATTCCATGGATTCCTAATTTTTCCTTCATCACAAAGGGGTGTTGGATCTTGTCAAATGCTTTTTCTGCATCTATTGAAATAACCATGTGGTTCTTATCCTTGTTCTTTTTGATGTGATGAATTATATTAATTGATTTGCGTATATTGAACCAGTTTTGTATCTCTGAAATGAATCCTGTTTGATTGTGGTGTATGATTTTTTGGATGAATTGTTGAAGTCCATTGGCTAAAATTTTGTTGAGCAGTTTTGCATCAATGTTCATCAAAGAAATGGGTCTATAGTTCTCTTTCTTTGATGAGTTCCTGCCTGGTTTTGGGATGAGGGTTATGATGGCTTCATAGAATGAGTTCGGTAGTGAACTTTCAATTTCATTGAAGAGTTGGAGGAGTATTGGTGTGAGCTCTGCTTTGAAGGCCTTGTAGAATTCCACTGTAAAACCATCTGGTCCTGGTCTTTTCTTAGATGGGAGGTCTCTTATTGCTGTTTCTATTTCAATGCTTGACATGGGCCTGTTAAGATGGTTTAACTCATCTTGGTTTCGTTTCAGCATGTCAATACCTTCTAAAAGGTCCATTTCTGCCAAGTTCTCAAATTTATTAGCACAGAGTTTTGCAAAGTATTCCCTTATGTTTTGGATCTTGGTTGTTTCTGTTGTGATGTTTCCATTCTTATCTCTGAGTTTATTTATTTGGGTGTATTCTCTTCTTTTTCTGATAAGATTTGCTAAGGTTATGCCAATTTTGTTAATTTTTTTGAAGAACCAACTCTTTGGTTTCTTGATTCTTTCTATGTTTTTTTGGATTCTAATTCATTTAATTCGGATTTAATTTTATTTTTTCTTTCCGTCTACTGGATTGGGGTTTAGCTTGCTGTTCTTTTTCAAGGAGGCTCAGATGTCTCATTAAATTGTTGGTTTCAGATCTCTCCAATTTGTTGATGTAGGAACTCAGAGCTATAAATTCGCCTCTCAGTACTGCCTTTGCTGTGTCCCAGAGGAGCTGGTAATTTGTGTGCTCATTTTTGTTGAATATCATGAACATTTGAATTTCCTTTCTAATCTCTTCCATGACCCATTGGTGGTTTAACAGTGTGTTGTTCAGCCTCCATGTGTTACAGGACTTTCTTTGGTAGCTTTTGGTGTTGAGTTCTAATTTTATTCCTTTGTGGTCTGAGAGAATGCAAGGTATAACTTCAATGTTTCTGAAATTGGACAAGTTTGCTTTGTGACCTAAAATGTGGTCTATTTTGGAAAATGTTCCATGTGCTGCTGAAAAAAACGTGTATTCTGACCTGATTTTTCTTCCTTAGGGAAATAAAGCATCAGGCTAGAAGTTTCTAGAGCCTTTTTCTGATCTCTGAATTCTTTGATTGGTTATATCAAATTCAAGCTCATCATTGGTTTCATCCAAAGTCATCTGAGTTTCCTATGTATTTTAAAAATATGCTTTCGGTTGTTCAAATTCAAAAACATTGCTGTAGCTGGGTGCCAGTGGCTTACTCCTTTAGTCCTAGCTATTCAGGAGTCTGAGATCTGAATATTGCAGTTTGAAAGGCAGCATGTGCAGGAAAGTCTGTGAGACTCTTATTTCTAGTTAAATCACAGAAAAAGCCAGAAGAAATGCTGTGGCTCAACTGGTAGTGTGCTAGACTTGAACAAAAGATGCTCAGGGATATCACTCTGTCCAGAGTTCAAGCCTAAGTTTCAGCAAGAAACAAAAAAAAATTGCTATAAAATTTGACTTGAAGATACTCATTTTGTCCCCACTTCCTGTTGATTTCAGCTCTATACTATCTGTCACATTCCTTTTATCATTCCTGCTGCCATCTGTAAGTTTTGGTTACTTTTTTTGTTGCATCTCTGGAGCAAGTGTGCCTGTTTTGTGAGGTCTTGTGACTTTGGGTGAAAAAGTAAAATGGAAATAGTCCTTTGTAAGTAGCTGTCTAGCTGAGTGCTATTGGTGGTAAAAAAAGAAACTGAGGACATAGTTCAGGAGACTTGTTCTATTAGGGCACAGAGAAGAATTACTTATTTCCTTTTTTGTTGTGCCTTCATATTAAATGTTTTCTAAATGTGTTTTTTTTTTCAGCATAATGGGAGTTTTGAGTAACAAGTGTGGTTTTCAACTCCAGTATCAAATGATTTTTTCCATATGGCTCCTGGCATTTAGTCCTCAAATGTGTGAACACTTGCGGCGCTATAATATCATTCCTGTTGTGTCTGACATCCTTCAAGAATCTGTCAAAGAGAAAGTGACAAGAATCATTCTTGCAGCATTCCGTGTAAGTGCCTTGTGTTTTTGTGGTTGTTGTTATTGTGTTAGTGATGGCTGCGTCTGTGTATGTTTGTGTAGCATTTTCTACTGTACTGTATATTTGAATTTTTAGCATGTGGAAAAATTGCTTATTTTTTGTGTAGTTATAGAGTTAGAGTCTATTGAAGTGTGTCTTTATGGCATGAAGCTGTGGGACAGGTAGAAGAAACCACCTAAGTGAATGGAGTGCCTGAGTTAAAGTCCTTGTAAGGAAGTGTACTGTAATTACATTCACATGGAGGGAGGCACTTTGTGCCCAATGCTCATCAACAGACTGTTCTTCAAGGAGTTTTTTTCTTTAACAGTCATAGTATATAGAGAGATATTGGATCTACTGACTAGTAATATGTTTCCAAGACAACCACAAATACCTGTAATTATTATTATTTTTAAAAATTTTTTATTTTTATTGTGAAAATACCATACAGAGGGGTTACAATTACATGAACAAGATAATGAGTACATTTCTTATCAAGCATTGTAGCCTCCTCCTTTGTTTCCCCTTTTTATCCCTGCCCTCCCATCACCCCCCTCCCCTCCACCAAAGTTGTAAAGTTTGTTTTCAACATAACTTCTTCATTGTTGCAGTGGGCCCACCTGTATCCCTATTCAAATACTTGTAATTATTTTAAAGAGTAAAATTATATCATTAGGAAATTAGAATCTTCACAAATAAAACAACTTCCTGTCGATCAGATGAGGAATCTGAGGGCAGGATTGGAGCTGTCTAGAATCTGAATTCTTGGTAGGTAAAACGCAGAAATAAAATATTCTTACTTGTTTGCCTAGAGACAGTGTCTTTACCATCTCTGCTAGTAATTTTGCTGATTCTTTTAGGACTTGATAGGCTTCTGAGACATTGCTTTGCTGGCATAAAGTCTCATCCTAAAATGGCCATCGTGATGTTTATCTATAATCTCAGCACTTGGGAGGTGGAGGCAGGACTACTACTTTTGTTTTTTTAAATAAAAACCTTATAAATAATGTCAAGTCACTTTTTAAAAGTATGCTGATTCATATTTTTAGGAGTTATATATTGGGGGTTTATGTTTTTCTGCACTCCTATTTACATTTATTATTATCTTCTGAGTTTTAAAAATCTTAGCTAAAAAGCAAAATCATTGTTTTAATTTGCATCCTATTAATAATGAATGTAGATGCATGTATTTTAATATTTTTATTCACCATTTACTTTCTTTGTAAAAATTGCTTATTCATAGCATTTGTCACTTTTAAAATGAGCAATTTAATGTGTAGGAACTCTTTTTCCAAATGTCTGTAGTTAAGAACAGCTGATACTTATTGAGAGCATATACTGGGTCAGAACTGTCCTAATTACTTTAAAGAATTACACATTAAATCATCTAAAAGCTCCATATAATGGTTATTAGGTCATCAAGGGTTAAGTGATTTGCCAAAATAGCCAAGAAGCAGTACCGAGATTTAAAGTCAGTTTGACTCACGCACTTGATCATCAGTTAACCTAGGTTTGGTGCTAAGTGTCATAATTGTTGAATTTTTAAAACTGTATTTTTCCTTGTCTTTTCTTTTTTGGTACTGGAGATTGAACCCTGAACATGTACTTTCTAGGCAAGTGCGTTGCCACTGAGCTACATCCCAGTCTGATTGTTTTGATATATGTAGCCTTCATAATTAACTTATAGAGCTTTTTAGTACTTTATTTCTTCCATGAGGAAATTGAGACTTGAGGGAAAGTTCTTCACTTGGTGGAAGGTTCACATTGCAGGGTGCTCTGTCAACTCCAAAACTGCCTTTTTTTGAGTTCCAGTTTTTATATTATTTTAATATGTATATAATGCCTTCTTCTTAACCATTCCAGCATCATCATCCTCTTTTCCTTTTTGATTCATTTTCTTAGGAACTTTAAAGTGTCATTCAGCGGGGAGGGGGGCGGAACATAACAAAGAAAATTCAAAGGTAATTTAAGAAGTCAAAATTTCTTGCTGTTGGAATTTCTCATCTGTTGAAGCATTAAACTCTGTGTCTTTCCAGGCTTTCAAGAACATCGAGGGGGTGATTGAAGGGTGGAGAAGGGATCAGTGTAGTCCTGTGGAGAGGTAGAAAGTGAAATCCAGGTGTGATCTGCTCAGTGCTCACCAAATGTTAGCTAAGTGTTGCTCTGGACATTAGATTGACCGTGTGTGTGTGTGTGTGTGTGTGTGTGTGTGTGTGTGTGTGTTGCTCTGGACATTATTGACTGTGTGTGTGTGTGTGTGTGTGTGTTGCTCTGGACATTAGATTGACTGTGTGTGTGTGTGTGTGTGTGTGTTGCTCTGGACATTAGATTGACTGTGTGTGTGTGTGTGTGTGTGTGTGTGTGTGTGTGTGTGTGTGTGTATGTGTATGTGATGTTCCGGGGCTTCAACTCAGGTCTGGGTTCTGTCTCTGATCATTTTTGTGCAAGGCTGGTACTTCATCACTTGAGCCACAGCTTCACTTTCAGCTTTATCCATGGTTAATTAGAGATAAGAGTCTCATAGACTGCCTTGCTTAGGCTGGCTTCAAACCATAGTCCTCAGATCTCAGCTTTCTGAGTAGCAAGGATTATGGGCATGAGCCACTGATACTTGGCTTAGATTGGCTTTTGAGTATTGATTTTTATTTTAAAAAGTTCTGTGCTTTTTTGGTATAATTTGGGGAGTGGAAGGGAAAAAACAAATTGTTTAAATAGGGATACAGGTTGACCTATTACAACAATGAGATGTACAAGACTCTATGTCAAAAAACGAACTTTATAATTTAGGCAGGGGTGGAGGGGATGGGGAGATTGAGGGGAAGGGGGGAATGTAGTTGTGGAGATGGGAGGGAAGGGATGGTAGGGGAAAAATAAAGGAGGAGGCAACAATGCTTGATAAGAAATGTACTCATTACCTTGCTCATGTGATTGTAACCCCTCTGTACAGTATTTTCACAATAAAAATCTTGTTTAAAAAAAAAGTTCTATGCTTTTTCATAGAGATTGTTTGGGACATATAGGTATGGCTCAAGTGTTAGAATGCCAGACATGAATGAAATGCCCGGGGAAAGGTCCTAAGTTTAAGCCCCTGTACCAGAGAGTTTCCTCATAAGAATTAGGTAAATGAAATGTTTTCTTATCCCTCTTCCTCAGCATGGTGAATCTGGCATGTGTATTTCCAGCAGTTCTCTCTAGGCAAATTAAGTCTTCAGTAGAAGTTGGGTGCCATGATGGGAAACACAAATCAAGCATCTGTGGTATAATACCGTCTTTGCATCCTGGTTATCCATGGCTTTTTTTCCTCAACTTCGATCTCTCACTGTACTTAGCGTATAGACTAGGTTTATTCAGTGAGATAACAGGTGGAGTACAGAGTTTCCCCTAATAGTAGTGTCTCTCTCTCTCTTTTCTTTTCTCTTTTCTTGTGCCAGTCTTGAAGCTTGAACTCAGGGTCTGGGCGCTGTCCCTAAGCTTCTTTTGCTCTACTAGCTACTTTTGGTAGAGTTAGTGCTCTACCATCTGAGCCATAGCACCACTTCTAGTTTTTTTTCTAAGTAGTTTATTGGAGATAAGAGTTTCACAGACTTTTCTGCCTGGATTGGCTTTTAACCTTGATCCTCAAATCTCAGCCTCTTGAGTAGCTAGGATTATGGGTATGAGCCACCAGCACCTAGCTGCAGTGTGTCTCTTAAAGTTCCTCTCTCTGTAACTTGAATTTTTGCTATATTAAGGTTGAGCCCAGGCAAAGATCCAATGCTGTTTTATAAAAGGTGGCATGAATATTAAACTAATATTTAGTAAGCTATAAAAGGTTTTATTTGAACTACAGTCATACTTTCAAATTTTGCTCATAATGCTTACATTTGTCATAATTTCTAGTCTTCCATTGTCTCCAATTTTGGATTTCAGATTATTTTAGAAATAGACCTAGGTCATTGGCAGAAGTAATAGCTCTTTTAGACTATCTTGTGTTAAGTTTTGGTTAATACAGTCAGTTATGTGAACATGCAGAGGGCTAAAACTCAAAAGAATGTCTCTAAGACAACCACAAGTTTCATAGATAGGACTGAAGTATTCATAAGGCTGTAGTGCAACCATTGATTGAAATCATCAGTCAGGTGGGGAAAATAATATTTAAAAAAATAATCTCAATTCTCTCCAGTGCCAGTGGCTTATAACTCTAATCCTAACTTCTCAGAAGGCTGAGATCTGAGGATTGTGGTTCAAAGCCTGTCTGGGCAGAAAAATCTCCCTGAGACTTCTCTCCAATTAACTACTCAAAAACTGGAAGTGGAGCTGTTACTCAAAGTGTTAAAGTGATAGCCTTGAGGAAAAGACCTCAGGACCAGTGCCCAGGCCCTGCGTTCAAGCCCTACAAGGACGACAAAATAAATAAAATAAAAAATAAAACTCAATTCCTTTATCATTTTAAAAGAGGTTTCACCAATCAGATTGTTTGAGGATTGTTTGTTCATTATTTTTCCCACCTGAAACTTTTGTGCTGAAGTGAGGAAGCTCATTGAGTTGCTATGAGCCAAACAAATATAACAGCTGTTAATTATTATTTCCTTCCATTTAGCTGGATGAGTTTTATTTTTGAAAATGTCACTTACTTATTCATAGTAGGTGCTGAACTCCATGTCTCTGCAAATGTTATTTCTGTTGGTTCGTTTGATTTGTCAGTCTTTAGTTCCTAAAATAAATTAGAATGTTTTGGGGCTGTGACTTTGACAAACATTGGAAATCATGTTTGTTGTCTAGAATTTTACCTCTGTTGTGAGTTTAGTCAAGAGCCTGCATTTTTTTGTCAGATAATAAAGTAAATTATAGTTTTACAGCTGTATGATTTTCATTAGAAAGGCTTAAGAATTATAGCAAATTAAACACTTTTATCTTTTTTCTTTTCCTTTCCTTCTCTTTCATTCTTTCTCCCTGCCTGCCTCCCCGCCTCCCTGCCTGTCTCCCGCCTGCCTCCCTCCCAGCCTCTCTCC